TATATTGTTGGTACTTGTCAATGTCTCTAGGTGTGTAAATGTAGCCCTGTAAATACGATGTCCTTTTGTGTTATCTGTTGTTTTATGTTCATGTTGTAACCTACTTGCTGCCATGTTGGACAGGTCTCCCTTGAAAAAGAGATCGATGATCTCAATGGGACCACCTGGTTAAATAAAGGTTTAAAAAAAAAAGTGTTTAAAAAGCAGCAGCCGTTCCATTTAAAGCTACGGTCACAGAATCAGCCTTTTTGGAGTAGGGCTGGTAAGAGGGGTATGAGGCATGGCTACTATGGGTCATCTGTTTGGTATTTTAAGCAAAAAACTTCACAGCCATGTTTTGTATAGGTATGGCCCTACAATATATTTTTCAAATATAGCATAGTAGGTCCACTTTAAATAAAGGATTTGAGTACTTCTGCCCCCTCTGGTTCTGAAACATCTTTTGGTTGAACTTCCTTTAATGGCATCCCAGAACCCTTCATTAAAACCATTGGTTGGTCCACCGAAAACGCATCACTGCTTTACATTTATAATACATATTGTCTTCATTTATTTGGGTCTTTTGTGCCGAGAGGCTACGAAACTTCCTACAACATTTTATCCACAACACAGACAGCCAATTGAAGAACTGCAAGCAGCCTCACACACAGTGCATAATTATATGATTGACTATTGCTTTGCTAGGTAACCCTGGTTGTGCTAAATTGAGTTAATAGAATACCTAATAAAATAATATCTCTGAGTTACTGACATAGTTTGAATTGTATTCGATCAGTTTTTGTTTCGGTTGAAAAATGCAGGGGTAAATTACAGTACAGTACCTTCTCTTTCTAACTAGCCGCCATCACTGTTTTGCTGAACCTCTGCCCTATTTATGACAATTAAAATTACATTACATTGTTTTTATTATCGGTTAAGTTAAGTTGTAGTCAGTAATGTGTCTGTGTGTGTTTCCTGCAGATGTCCAGCAGCTGTTGGTTGTTAAAGAAAAAGTTCCACCTGAGCAGGAGTGGAGCCCCAGTGTGAACCAGGAAGACCAAGAGCCCGCCCCAAACATTAAAGAGGAACAGGAGGAACTCTGGAGCAGTCAGGAGGGAGAGCAGCTTCAAGGGCTGAAAGAGGCTGATATAACATTGACTCTTGTCCCTGTGAAAAGTGAAGATGATGAAGAGACATTTTTGGATATTCATCGAAGACAAACTGAACATATGGAAACAGCAGCTGATGGAGAAGACTGTGGAGGACCAGAACCAGCCAGCAACTCAGATCCAGATAGGCATTTACAATTCAATACTGAGGACAGCACTGGCGACTCTTCTGAACTTGACACTGAAGACAGTGCTGATTGGAATGAAAGCAGAAAACCTCAGTCAGGTTCAAACTCTCTGAAAAAGGATGGAGGTTCTGTCAGTGACTCAAGAAGTAGTGCTGAAGAGAAACCATTCCTCTGCTCTGAGTGCGGGAAAATATTTGGCCACAGGACAAATCTGAGGAACCACATGATGACTCATACAGGAGAGAAACCATTCAGTTGCTTAGTTTGTAAGAAATATTTTGCACTGAATTACAGGTTACAACACCACATGAGAATCCACACGGGAGAGAAACCTTACAGCTGCTTAGTTTGTGAGAAAACTTTTAGACTGAATGGTAATTTATACACCCACATGAAAATCCACAAAGCGAATGATCAAGTCTCTGCCAGTGGTTCAAGGTGTAGTGCTGTTGAGCAGCCATTTGCTTGTCTCGTGTGTAAAAAAAGTTTGGGGAGCAAGAAAAGCATGCATAGACACTTGATAACTCACACAGGAGTAAAAACATTCTGCTGCTCAGTTTGTGACAAGCGTTTTTCACAAAAAGGAAATATGAATATACACATGAAAACTCACACAGGAGAGAAACCTTTCAGCTGCTCATTTTGTGACAAAAGCTTTTTGCGAAAGGCACACCTTAAACGACATGCGATGACTCATACTGGAGAAACACCATTTAGCTGCCCAGTCTGCAAGAAATCCTTTACGAGGAGTGATTATTTAAAGGAACACATGAATATCCACACGGGAGAAAAACCATTCAGCTGCTCAGTATGTAGTAAATCTTTTAAGCTGAGCAGTAATCTACTGAAACACACAAGAATCCACACAGGAAAGAAACCTTTCAGTTGCACTGTTTGTAAGAAATCTTTTATATTGGGTGATATTTTAAAAAGACACATGAGAACTCACACAGGGGAGAAACCATTCAAATGCTATGTTTGTAATAAAACATTCGCCTGGGCTCATCAGGTAAAAAAACATAAATGTGATGGTCCTCAATCCTCACAGCTTAATCCGATTTAGGTTGCAGTCGAATTGTCAGTTTAGCTTAGCAGCCTTCCTAACAGAGTGAACTGACCCGGAATTACCTCAGTGGCAGCTGTTCGAATTCTTTAGATCAGTGATTCCCAAACGGTGTGCCTCACGGCACACTGGTGTGCCGTGAGGCAAGTCCGGGTGTGCCGTGGTACACTGGTGTGCCGTGAGGCAAGTCCGGGTGTGCCGTGGTACACTGGTGTGCCGTGACTCAAGTCCGGTTGTGCCGTGGGATTTTGTGACAACCATACGTTATTATTGCAATATACCTCTACACAAAAATTATTATTTTCTTATTTACTATATCAGTACTTTGTATGCACTCATTTCATAATACAGAGGCAAACTCTATACCTAAAAACAATTCTTTAAAAAAGAATCCTCACAGAACCCCATATTTCACTGTTAACGCAGTTGCACAGGTGGGAATTATAAGAACGTGACACATCAAAGGCTGAAAGACAACATTAAAACAGAGAAACACGCAAGAGGGAAAATGGAGCGCTTTCTTGTGCGGAGCAAACCACCAACCACCAGTGCGGAGACTGCCGACAACCCACCACCAAAAGAAAAGAGGAAAAGAACTGTCAGCAGACAGTATCATGAAAGTTACCTGTCTTATGGCTTCAGTTGGACCGGGGATGTCAACAATCCTCAGCCCGAGTGCGTCGTCTGTCGGGAGAAGTTAGCTAATGCGAACTTGGTTCCAAGCAAGCTGAAGAGGCACTTGGAAACCAAACATCCCTTCCATGTTCAGAGAAACTTGGCCTACTTCAGAAGAGCGTGGGATCTGAACCAGAGGCAGCAAGACCGTTTGTTGGATTGTGTGAAAGTGTCTGAAAAGGCAATGGAGGCTAGTTACATTCTAGCGGAGCTCATTGCAAAGCAGAGAAACCTCACACAATAGCGGAGACACTCATCCTCCCCGCTTGCAAAAAAATTGTAGGTGTCATGCTGGGTCCAGATGTCGCAAATGAGCTATCCAAAGTGCCGTCGTCTGATAATACAATCAAAAGAAGAATCGACGACATGTCAGAAGACATTGAGCAACTTTTGAC